GGCAAGCGCATGGGCAAGCTTCAGTTCCACTTTACAGCACATTTCCCGTTTCTAACATGTTCTCTGCCTTTTGCAAAATGTATACACTGCGATATTAATTGCTGCTTTCGGGACTTGGCAACTCTCTACAGCCTTAAGCTAGAACACTATTGTTGCTTCCGAAATAAAGTTGTGCAGTCTTTGTTAAAAATGGTGATTTTCTTTTTTTATATATACTAGCGGGAAGTACCCGGCATTCCCTGGGCAAAAAAGACACACACACATCGACTTACACACACACAGACATCGACCCACACACACACACACATCGACCTACACGCACACACATATGCACTTACACACACATTGACTAACACGCATGGACTTACACACATCGACTTACACACACACATCGACTCACACACGCACATAGAGCCAGACATCCACTTACACGCAGACATATCGACGTACACACACACAGCGACTCACACACACAAAGACTGACACACACACATGGACTTACACACACACAGCGACGTACACACATCGACTTACAAACACACATGGATGCACACATACACACATCGACCTACAAAAAGACAAAGACCCACACACACACATAGACTTACAAACACACAGCGACTCTCACACACACATGGACTTACACACACATTGACTAACACGCATGGACTTACACACATCGACTTACACACACATACACCGACTCTCACACATGGAATTACACGCACAATTATGTTGTTATATTCACTTACACATACACATCGACTCACACACACACACAAATAAATGGACTTACACACACACATTGACTAACACGCACATCGACTGACACACACATATCGACTCACGCACACACACATCGACTTACACACAGACATCGACCCACACACAAACACATCGACCCACACACACATCGACCTACACGCACACACATATGCACTTACACACACATTGGCTAACACGCATGGACTTACACACATCGACTTACACACACACACATCGACTCACACACGCACATAGAGCCAGACATCCACTTACACGCAGACATATCGACGTACACACACACAGCGACTCACACACACATAGACTGACACACACACATGGACTTACACACACATGGACTTACACACAGCGACGTACACACACATCGACTTACAAACACACATGGATGCACACATACACACATCGACCTACAAAAAGACAGACCCACACACACACATAGACTTACAACCACACAGCGACTCTCACACACACATGGACTTACACACACATTGACTAACACGCATGGACTTACACACATCGACTTACACACACATACATCGACTCTCACACATGGAATTACACGCACAATTATGTTGTTATATTCACTTACACATACACATCGACTCACACACACAAATAAATGGACTTACACACACATTGACTAACACACACACATCGACTGACACACACACATATCGACTCACGCACACACACATCGACGCAGACATGCACATCGACTCACGCACACATGGACTTAGACACACACATTATTGTAAAAATCACTAACTTAATTGTTAAATATTAGTTGTGCACACACACACGACGCACAGACATTGACTAACACACACATCGACTGACACACACATAGAATCACGCACACACACAGCGACTTGCACACACACAGACTTATGCACACACACGGACGTACACATATTGACTAACACACACATCGACGCACACACAAACACATCGACTTACACAATCTACTGACATACACATCGACTGACACACACATCGACTTGCACACACACATCGACTTGCACACACACACATCGACTAACACACATACATAGACTCAGAAACACATCGACCTACACACACACATATACGGACTTACACACATATTGACAAAGACACACACATTGACTTACACACACATGGACCCACGCACACACATCGACTCACACACAGACTCACACAAATCGACGCACACACACACGGAATTACACACACACAAACATATGGACTTAGACACACACACATATCGACTAATCACACGTGGACTTAAACACACACCTACATAAAGTCACACACACATGGACCTACACACATATATGGACTTGCACAAACACATATCGACTAACACACACACATGGACTCACACACACACGCATCGACTGGCACACATCGACCCACACACAAACACATCTACTTACACATACACATGTCGACTTACAAACGCACATGGACTCACGCAGACACACATTTTGACGTACACACACATCGACTGACATACATGGACCCACACGCACACACATAATGAACTCACACATGGATGTACACACGCACACTCGCACTTTTATATAGACTTAATAAGTTTGTAAATAATAGTTTTCTATGTACGTGACTTGAGCGAAAAAAGCAAGGGAGAGGGGATAAGTCATTAGGAGCGACTGCGAGGGTGTTCCGCCATTTTGTTGCAAACATTTGCCGCGAGCAAGAGCGGCAAATAAATGAAAGTCAACTAATACAAAACGAACCTAACCTACCTGTAACTATTGTAATAAGCGAGCGCAATCTCCTGCATAATTGCGGGGTTACACTCTATATACTGTCGAGACAGTCCATGCCTCGTCAGTAGTGGGATTCTATCTGGGAGGAAGGTTAATGGGTGGAGCTAGCAAGGAAGCCTCTGGAACGTTCTCGAAGGTTCCTAGTGGGGCGTGGCCAGAGGCGGGGCTTGGCCTGGGAAGAGGGGATATAAAGCGGGGAGTCTCGCGGAAGGTTCGGTGGTTGAAGATCGAAGAGGAGCTCGCCCGTCGCTGCTGCCCCAGCCACCTCCAGCAGCCACGTGGCGGCCCGACCTGCAGCCGCTTCCCAGCGCGCCGCCAGCCAGCGGTGTGGTGGAGAGCGGCGAGAGGAGTCGTGGCTGTGAAGAACCTTTAATAAATAAATAAAGTTGTGCCGTGCCGGAGCCACTTATTACACCATGAGCCAGATGCGCACCGATCAAGCGTAATTGACAGAACGTCACTGATCAACCCCCCTACTGAGGGGGCAAGTGTAAATGTGATAGAATGAAGACGTAATTGAGTATATTTATTGGTTTGCCATCTGTGCAGTAAAGTGATATTGCGTGGCTGCTTATGCATCAAGAGTACAGAAAAAGGCTATTCAAAAACATCGGTTCATCCCTGTCATTAAATCTCTAACCTATAAAAGGCAATTTGTAATGAGTAAACAGTCACGGGAATAACTGTTTGAAGGGAGCTGTAAATTTGCGTGTGTTACCTTGCGCAGTGTGCACACGAAATAGAAATACCCCCACCGAACGCGTGTGACTTGGTATGGTCTAGCGCGCTATGTAAAAAATAAAACAGCACTAAATCGTTACTTAAACTTTGAAATGTGACGGACGCGAAATCGGAATAGCGCTGGCTCAGCACGGGGCTTATGGCGTGGTACCTGGCTACTTTTTTCAACCCCACGGTTTGCGAGCCAAATCCTTCGTAAGTTTGGGCCGCACACACACGGACAATGACAGGTTAAAAAAATATGCAAGCTTTAAATCGCCACTGGTTTCATACTATTAGCTATGTAACAATTAATTTGCTGTCAATTTAAATTGAATCTGCACACGATACGTGCAATTTAGAGTGAAAATTATATAGAATGTATGGAAGCAAAATTAATCAAAGGAATTGATTATTAATGAGAATAGAAACGTACACTGTGAGAACTCGTCAAATCGCAGGGCTGGAGCGGTGGGTGAATTGCTGAATAGCCACTCTTAACACTCATCAATTGCTTTCGTAGTTTGAATAACACATTCCTGCGGAGGGAGCTGGTAGGAACGTTGGGTTGCTCGGTCAATGGCCAGGGTCAACGGCGGCGTGGTGTATTCCGCAAATATGCCCGACTGTGAGGGTGGGCAATAGCCGGCGTGAGTAGGTGAAACGTTGAGTTTTATAAGGGCACCACGGGGTGACCAGTCCCTCCCCACCCAGCTCCACCCCTCACCCAGCCCCACCCTCCCCACCCAGCCCCTCCCCACCCTCCCCTCCCCACCCAGCCAACTCCCCACCCTCCCCTCCCTACCCAGCCCCTCCCCACCCTCCCTCTCCACCCAGCCCCACCCCTCACATTTTTGGATGCACGACGGACGGACACAATAATCCCCTGTGGGCTCGTGTAACCAGGAGGTTCCTACCAGTAAAAGTGTTCACCTGCTCAAGTGTGTGTGAGGCAGCCTCCATTTCACTTGTTGGGTGGGGTGCATAAGATAGCTGGTACCACTTTGTCGGAAGTCAACAGGTCAACAGTGGTCGTCTGTGTAGAGACTGGCTACGGCCCTATTCGAATGTGGAATTTTGACAGATGGCTTTGGGTTGCGAGTGGGGATTATCACCACCCTATTGCGCATTTAAGCAGGGAGGTACTCACACTAGACTGTGATGAGTAGTTTATGTACATATCGAGTCTTAATTCAGAGGCCTTTGTCAATCGACTGGTGGATGAAGGGGTGGAGCGGTGGTGCAGTGGTTAGCACCCTGCGCTATGAACCTAGTGACCGTTGTTTTGATTCCTGGCCACAGCTCATATCTTTGGTGAGTGATGTCTGAACTGGTCCTGGGTGCTACCTTCACCAACCTGCACTGACCAGTGTAGTGAAGTATGGTCAAACAACTCCCGATGACCAACACTATGTGAAGTGGCCTTCATGCAGTAGTGCATTGACAAGGTTGTAAAATTATATTATATCTCGTCATACTATGCTCACACTATCTTCAACCAATGATAATTCCTGTCTGCTAAATAAAAATTCATAGGTGAAGATATAAGATGTGAAAGGCACAGTGCATTATGGGAAACCCCACTCACGCAAACATCAACCTGATGTAACTATCATAATCGCTAAGGACACGTTCTACTTCTTATGCATGAAGGGGAAATCACTGGCTGCTGAGTGGTGCATAATTCCATATCTATTACGTATGTAAGTGAAATCGCAGTGTGAATTTAAGATTCAGTTACACAATCAAATTTATTTATATTTTAACAACTTGGTATTCGGGCTGATACAACAATACAATGCCCTACCTGGGGTTTAATTTTCTCACTCAATATTTTTCGACTGTTAGGCTGGCAAGTGGCACGTGACTGGTAGTAGCCACAGCCGGAGTGAGAGGTATACTCGATGTGGTGTCCCGGATGCAGAAGTCTTTTCTAGGTTGCTGACCCGAAAAGACCCGGCTGCAAAAAGCCCTGGGCCTAGTCTCACCCAATGTCACAGGACCTGTAAGGTCTGCTCTACAGCACGTGTCACAACTCTGATAATTCCATGGGTGGCTTCACTGGGAGTGAAACCTCTTGTTTATACATCGACCCATCTCCGTGGCAATTGCAGGGACTGCGAGGTCACTCTGCAACTGTGACTCTGCCATCATGATTTGAGTTCCGCTCCTCATCTTTTTCCACCAAATCTGTGAGCTCCTTCGTCCTTTTGCGGTCGATATCCTCCATCTCGCGGATTTTCTGTTGGTGACAGCCAAAGAGATTCGGTATCCGGTCAGGTGGCACCACGTGCAGAATTCCTGTAGAAGGCACTACAGCAAATTGGTTCAAATAACCTAACTTCCCAAATGTATAATGCTGCCAAAAAACAAGTCATAAAAATATTTCTTTAATAGACACTCACCGGAAGACAATTTGCCTCCTTATCACCCTTTTATCACTACTACCACTGGGTGGGTAAGTTGGATGAGTGCGTCATGCTGCACTTGGAACCACCTGCGAGATCTGCGAGTGGATGAGAGGCGCGTACTGCTTGCTCCGACCTAACGCCTCCATTTCCTGCAGGAATACTCGACGCTCCTCAATTTCCTCCATCACTGCCAAGACACACCGAGAAGAATGGGAACAAGGATGAGAGGAGACCGTGGAGGCAATGGTTGCAGATATGGTAATGCCATATGGTGGTGGTTGTAGTCAAGGCATTGGTAAGTAGTGATGATCACAGTTATGACTGCAAGTGGTGATGTCAGTGGTAATGGTGACGGTAGCAGTCATGGTGGTAGCAATGGTGATGGTCATAACAGTAGCTTGTAGCAATGGTGGTAATCACAGCAGTAAGAATGGTGACATTGGTGGCACTATTAGTGGTGATAAAGGTAGTATTGGGTGTAGCGGTGGCAGTGGTGGCAGTGATAGCAGTGATATTGTTGGCAGTAGCAGCGGCAGCAGTGTTGGTGTTGGCAGTAGCGGTTGGTAGTGACGGTGTCACCCACACTCCGTGAATCTGTCAAGCTCTGGCTCCGGTGGCGGAGGGGTCCTGGGCTGCCGGGGTCGATGGGTCCCGCCTTCCTCGTCAGCTCGCCCCGTCGCCATCAAGTTCTGCAGCCGCTGCTTTTCGGCCTCGGTGTTCTCTGCCACGGAGCACATGACCGCCACAGTGCTGGCTCAAACTCGCGCAACCACAACCGTGACGTGTGGTGTTGGCTCGCGGCTCTGGGTCCAGGAGGAGATACAAACTCCACCCTAGGTTTAACATATCTCAGATGGATTCAGAACAACGTGTGTGGGTATGCAGTGAGTAACTGAAATGCGCTGGCAGTGGTTTAATCACTGGCTATTTCTGCACCAGACGATCAAATGCATGTCTATGCAATCATAAAAAAATAAAGCAAGATGACAGCCCATTCAAAAGTTTATTGCAAGGGGAGAATGCAGTCCATACAGCATCACAGAACTCATCTGGAGCCCAGCAGCTAGTTCCTCATCATCGTCACTCCCTGCCATTGCGTTCCACTCATCACTGAGTTTGGAGCCTTCTCAACCTGAAACCCATGAGGAGTGGTCACTGACAGCATGGGGTGTGGGTTTGTGCTGAAAAGGAAAGGGGACTCACTGCCGGGCTTTGGGCGGTACTGCTCCCTCTTGTAGGCGTCTCCGGCCATGCAGTCACTCGCCGGTCGTAGGTGAGGCCTTCCCCTGGAGGCCGCGGTGGAGCGAGCCTGTGGCGGTGGCTTTCTGTACCGCCTGGCGCTGGTGGGCGCATGGCTGCTCAGCGGCAGGCTCTCGCCATCTGCACCAGTTCCGTGCATTCAATTTAAATGTATTCCCGTGATATTCTACATGCCACTTCCACTGGCACCAGGGCTAAGCTGTAGCCCCCTCACATATAACACAATGCACATCGCGGTATATGGCCCCCCAATGCCATGGTGAATTCGAAATGCCACCACAGGCCCCCAATACATGGCATGATTCACTTATGAGACCTGATGAAAGAAAGATGCATATAACACAATGAGCTCTCATTGGCAGTCTGCAGCTTGACATGGCTGACTGATGAGCTCGAATGATGATGACCCATGCAGCTCTGTGGGCTTCCCATGAAATCTGTAACTGGGTATGAGTCACTTAATAAGCTAAATGAACGAGGATCCATAAAACAGTGTGCTTCCCTTGATAGTATGTGATTGAATATAGTTCAACGATGAGCTCCAATGATTCCATATGGGTTGATTTGACATTTCACTTTTGCAAGGTGAGCCAGGTCAACAAGTGCAATTTAGATCTAAGTACACAGAGTTAAATATCTTAGATGAGACGATCAGTTGCTCATTAACAGTAAATATACTGTTCTGTCAAAGCAGGAAAAAACATAATGTAAACACAAGTCACAATAAACGAAGGCACAGATCATATTCGACATGCAATTACTCATCAAAATGCATTAAAATCAGTGGACCAACATTTGATAAAGAAATGTGATTGGAGACACGAACAATCAAACTTTTTTAAGTAGAGCGATGCTGACTCATGTACTTGTTCAAGACCTTCCTCTTCTCATTTATCCATGACTGCCTCTCAGCTTTAACTCCTCTGCCATTAACTGCACCAGATCCTCTCATAATCTTTGTACGAGACCTCTTATCCATCCTTTCATCCGCCTTCTCCCCACAGCTTTGGGTTCCCATCTCATGTGCAATGTCTTAAGATGTTCTTTCATTGTAATTTAATTGTTAGACGGGTGAAGTGGTGGTGTAGTGGTTAGCGCATTGTGCTTTTAACTCAGCGGTGTAAGTTCGCTTCCCAGCAATGAATAAAAGTTGATGTGAGTGATATCTCAACCCACACTCAGCAGCCCACACTGGCCAGTTTGGTTATGTATGATCAATCAACTCCCATGACTGATACGGAGTGGAGAGGCCATCAACAGTGGACTGACAAAGGAGTGTCAAATTATGAATATAAATATTACCTACTGATTACCCTCTTATATTTCCTATAGTTTTTCTACAATTGATCAATTGAATAGCTGTATTTTTTGACGAACCAGGTGTTCAAGCTGAAGGAAAATGAGTAAGAGCACTGGCATTGCCACTAAATCCAAATATAGTAGTCGAAAGAGTGCTTCCGTCTGCCACTAAGCCTTGGGCAGGAACAGTAAACCGTAATCCTAAAGATGACTCTGCGAGCCTATAGAAATGTCACTAAACCTTAATACTGTAATCCTGAAGGTGTATGCCTCTGCGAGCTTCAGGCATGACCACTGAACTGTAATACTTCTCAGGGTGCTTTCGTCTGGCTGCCTGGGCTGTGGGAATAAATCTATAATCTGTGCTTGAGACTACATTAATCTGTAGGTGGTGCGCAGGGCCGCCCAGAAGGGGAGGGGGGGAAATAGGTAAAATTTTCCGAGGAGCTCACAAAAAGAGGGGGTGCCACAACTTGCCTGGTGTTCTGTTTTGTCATTTTTTTAACAAGAGGGGCCCCCACGTGGCATTGTACCCAGAGGCTTCAGGAACCTTCCGGGCGACGCTAGTGGTGATTGTGGGAAGTCAACCCGAATGAGATGCTGAAATGATGAGATACAGTCGTTCGTCGATTATCCGGCGTGCTTCGGGGGTGGGAGGGGGCGCAGGATTTTCAAAAATTATGGATAATCACATTATTTAAAATAGCTTATTTTTGCACATTCTTGTATGACGTGTTTTAGGTGTTGTGTGTTTTTTCAGTGTTTTAAATGTGTTTACTTTGTGAAATTGGCATAATTAAACATACAAATGGACAAAAATAAACATCCTACTTAAATGTTTTTTACTGTATTTACTGTACCATACCGCTCCAATCTCGCAGACTGTGCATGGGGTGATGTATATACGTTCAGTATTTTCATTGTTTAAGTTGTATGTAGTGTATAATGTACTGCATATAATATTTGAAACTGAAATCAAACAGAGCTCCTTTTAATCTGTCACGCACATGGTGCCGATTGTCGGACTGACGTTTGGAACAGTTTTGCCAGTTTCACCGGATCGGCCCGGGACCACCGGATAATGTTGGAAGCCGAATAATCGATGATCGAACTGCAATAATTCGGCAAAGGGGGAAGGAAGGGCGCTCGAAGAGACGGGTGCGCTTTTACTCGCGATCTTGGCGGTGAGGTGTCTCTGCTGGAGGTTCGTCAGGCGAGCCTCTTTCATCATCACTGGGAAGAGAAAGGAATCAGCAGCACATTTGGAGAGAAAAAAATATTCATCACAATTGCTGGAGTTATTATTGGACGATTATCAATTGGTTGCATGTATACGCCTTAAAGGAGATGCGGATTTGCAACAACAAGAGACACGATTGGCAAGTGGAAAAAATGAGAGGCAAAATAAGGTTCATTTTTATAACTTCATAAAACAAGTGTACTAATACGTTCGTGTTTAAGTAACCTCATTATACTGTTAGGCAAAATCACGGCGATATCCAATATTAAAAGACAAAAATAAAAATTGGTTTTCTGTATCGACACAAGCACTGCTTCCCCACAATGTTCCATTTGGAATTGATAAAAGCTACCATACTGGCTCTACTTGACTACTGTGACATCGTGTATAAATCAGCCCCAAGTACTGTACTGAAGAAGCTTGATTTCATCTATCACTCGGCCTTAAGATTTACATTGAACTGCCCATATAGGACTCACCACTGTGATCTCTACATTGGTTCAAACTTAACATCTCTTAATGTTCGACGGCTTGCGCACCAGATCTTATTTATTCACGATGTACTTAGAAAAAAATCCGCAGACTACCTGCTGGATCTCCTTTCTGTTTCAAAGAACAAATTTGACCTCAGGTCTTCGCTCATTTACCAGCTTCACATTCCCTATTGCCGTACAAAAACTGGAGGAAGGGCCTTTGCTATTGATGCCCCCAGGGTCTGGAATGCTATTGCCAATAAACTGCAACTTGAATCGCTACCAATGAGATCTTCTCTCAAAACTGCTCTAGAGGAGTTGTACACCCCTAGCTGCCACTGCTATTCATTGGCGTAAAATAAAATGTTTAGCTCCGGATGACGCTGCAAAGTATTATCTGTATTTTGATTTAGCGTGCTGATCTTAAAGGTGCATTGAAAAATAAATGTGATACTCCGACTGATGCTTCTGTTGTTGTGGAGTAACTCATGCAGGCAGCTATGGCTCTAGGATTTGGTGTTACATGTTATTTATGTAGTTTATTGTAAAATTTCGGTCACAGTACCTGTGATCACTGTTACGTTGCAATTATGGCTTTATTTTTTGGTGATTTCGAAAACGTTTTTTGGTTTGGACATGTTTGTTTTGTTGTAGTACGGAGTTAGACTGATGGCCTTAATCTAAGTTTTCTTGTGGTTGTTGTTGTTGTTTGACTTGCATCCCACTGGGATTTTTTTGCACACAGCGTTGGTGTACGGTGCTTTTTTCAGGAATATTTAGCTGTTTTTTTCATGGATTTTCTGTTTGCACAGTCACATAGTCACTTTAAGATGTTATTCTTGTTCGTGTTATTTGTGTTTTTTATTTGTTGTGGTTGCACCCGATTCAAGAGCTGAATGGCTCACAGGGCTATACCATAATAAATTAACTGAAACTGAAAACTGAATTAAAACTAACAAAAAACGGTAAAACAATTCTAGATTTGAAGCTTTCGTGATTGCAAGGATCCATGCTCTTTGGTTCTATTCGGTAAAGTCACGTAGGTAAAAAATTAAAACCACAAAAATCACGACGTTTCGGCTACAACACAAGCGACCTTCATCAGGTGAAGGGACCAACCTGTCCAGCGGACAAAGTTGGAGTGAAGAAAGCCAAGCGCTGGTTGGTCCCTTCACCTGATGAAGGCCGCTTGTGTTGTGGCCGAAACGTCGTGATTTTTGTTTTAATTTTTTACCTACGTGACTTTACCGAATAGAACCAAACGGTAAAACAACCATTTCCAGCCGCGGTGAGGCGCTGTTTGGCAGTAAGTTGGGAGTTAAAGCACCGCTTTCACATCAGCAACGGGTTTATATCAAACCCGGTTTAAACCTCGGTTTAATGGGCGAAACGGATTAAACCACTTTATTCATGAATCCAGTTAAGTATGTTTAACCCTTTAAACCCCGTAAAAAGGCACATGTAAGGAAAAACAAACTCCCACAATCTTGGCTAAAGGCATCCCCATTACGTTGAACTTTTTTCGCACCGTACGTAACCAACCGCGCTAATCGGAGGTGCGCGGGGCGCACAACAAACTAAACACACAAAAGCAGTTCTAAAGACATTCGTTTTTCAATCTAGGTGGTTTAAAAGTGCATAGCTCCGGTGGCATCCCTAATATCGGAAGGAAGGTGCGTTCCAGACGGCCGCAGAAAGCGCGCGATGCGATGACCCCACCGTCTTTGTTTCGATGGTTTAGCTGCCAAAAGCCGGCTTCATCTTCACTGCCATCATCACTTCGTCGAAGTTTGTCAGTGTCATACCTGTCAATCCCTTATTACAAACCAATTCATACCTTATTGGTCACCCCGTGCCCCTTATACATCTGAACGCTCATCCTACAAAGTTCCACCACGAGGGAGAAACACAAACAAATAGACAAAAAAATAACGTAGTTTTTTTTAATTACCTAATAGTTTTTGTTGTTGTTGTGTACTCTTACCTGTCAACCCCTTATCAGTGCCCCTCCCTACCTTACTACAAACCAATTCAGACCTTATTGGTCACCCCGTGCCCCTTATGAATCCCAACGTTCGTCCTACAAAGTCGCCATCACAAGGGAGAAACACAAACAAATAAACAAACAAAAATCCCCCGCACTTAAACGGCTTTACGCCGTATGGGCTTTAAAACTCTATTTCCCTCTAAGAGAATACGGGGTTAAACCGTATGGGTGATGACTCGCCAATTGCACCAAACCGGTCCACGTCTCCTGCGTCGTCTCGTGCAAACATTTCGCCTCGCAGCTTGCGCAATACTTAATTCCAATTACCGCAATACAATGTTCTTAATAGAGTTAAAACAAAATTTTGACGTGAAGGTCTCACCTCTCAGCAGATCTCGGGTAGCCGGACTGAAGGCCGCGCCGGCCGGCGCCCATAAACCGCCTTCGGTACCCCTCCCGGCCATGTCCCTGCCTTTATTATCTTCAAATTTTAACTTTAAATGTATTTCTTACTTTGCACAAATGGCTCTTAAAAACATCTAAAGAGTGAGGCGCACAGGCCTCAGGCTCCAATCGAGCACTAGGCCAGAGCTTCTCGTCTCCTAGCAACCGCGTTGCCGTGACGACGGCGAGTTACAGACAACGTGGACCAATCGCGTTCGCCGTTATTTTCGGGACGAGTCGCCGCTTGTGATTGGCCGATATGAGGCATAATAATTAATTTCTTATTTAAAGCTTTCGTGACTGCAGTGATTCATATTCTTGTCTCTTTCGGTAAAGTCACCACGTAGAAGGGAAACAATCGTCTATCTTATTATATAAATAAAAATGTAAATGTTCGTTTGTTCAAAATCTGAAATCTCCGAAAGTTCTTCACCGATTGCTTTGAAATTTTGACACAACGTTGCATTCGAATACGCGCTTGTTTTTATACACCTACTATTTTGACACAACGTTGCATTCGAATACGCGCGTGTTTTTATATACCTACTATTATATAGATGTCACACCTGTGACAGGTAAAAACATGCTTTTAAAAAAAAGCAGCGCCATCTGTTGGACGTAAAAGCAACACACGCTGTACTAAATATTTCACGATTCCATTTCAATGTTTCCGTTGTCATTAAGTAGAATTTTCATAGATTTTGATTTATTTTCATTTTGATTTAATAATTTCGTGTGACATTGCGTTGGAATTGAGCTGTGTCGTTTACCATAGCGTTCATTTCGTGAGTATAGTTTCTTTTTTTACTTTTTTCATTGCTTTTCGTTTCGTTTTTTAACTGCTTTTCTTATTTTTCAGTGCAATTGGCGGTGGAATTCAGCTGTGGCGATTGATCCGCGTCTGAATTGAAATATTTCGTTAGTATTTTTTATTTTTTTCTTTGTTTTTAGTTTGTGTTTTTTTCCTTTTTTAATGCTTTGCAATTTCATATGTTTTGGTTATAACGTTCTTTCTCCTTTTTCAGTGCAATCGATCCGCTTTAGTTCATCCAAATAACGCCTCGCAGTGCGACGGGTAATTTCAAATCAAAGTGAGGAAGAACGGGCATCAGCGAACGAGCGAAACAGACGAAGAATGATAGAGTATTAAAGCCTTCGTGACTGCATAAAATTACTCATTGTTTTTTTTTCGGTAAAGTCACGTATGTAGAAATGCAATAAAATTATATTAAAACAAAAAAAACAATCACGACGTTTCGATCACAACGCAAGAAGAAGATCGCTTGCGTTGTGATCGAAACGTCGTAGTAATTGTTTTTTTTAAATATAATTTTATTGTATTTCTACATACGTGACTTTACCGAAAAAAAACAATGAGTGAGACAAAGAATGGCTGAAAATACGCGCCGAGGAAGCAGCAGAGCGACGTGCAGCCAGGCTTGAGGATGCACGGGTTGCGAGCACGGCGATCGCGTTCTGCAGCTTCAGATCTGCTAGATTTAAAGCTTTCGTGACTGCAAGGATCCAATAGAACCAAAGAGTATAGCTTCAGATCTGCTTCGTTCTCAACGGAATGAACGCGACAGGCTGAGAGATTCGTTCATGAGGCTATCCACATATACAAGCACAGAGACAATTTCGACCGAGAAGATGGATTCTGGCTTAGCAACCATTGGAAAGATTTGATAAACCATTTCGGGTCTTAATTGATTGTTCACGCTTACGGTGGCTTCCAGACAGCATATATTAATTTTTCGTCTCCCCCCTCCTCTTTTCAGAACATAGATGGACTAGTCCTTCTAAATAAACTGACAAATCGCTGCGCGTGGCGCTGACGTTTTTATAAATAAATAAATACACCGTTTAAAAATAAATACATTCATCTTCTTTGGTTCTTTCGGTAAAGTCACGTAGAATGAGAATAAAATAATACATTGATAAAATAAAATAACACAATAATATTCTCACGACGTTTCGGCCACAACACAAGCGGCCTTCATCTCGTCCCCTTCACTCGTCCCCTTCACCTGATGAAGGCCGCTTGTGTTGTGGCCGAAACGTCGTGAGAATATTATTGTGTTATTTTATTTTATCAATGTATTATTTTATTCTCATTCTACATGACTTTACCGAAAGAACCAAAGAAGATGAATCCTTGCAGTCACAAAAGCTTTAAATCGAAATAAATAAATTAATGCGAACCGATACACCTGATGACGACTGTTTGTGTTATGGTCGAAACGTCGTGGGGTTTTTTTATTGTTTTATATATTTTATTATTTTATTGTTTCCCTTCAACGTGACTTTACCGAAAGAGCTAAGAATATGGCTGAAAGACGTCAACGAGAAACAGCAGATCAGCGTCAAGCACGACTCCGTGCTCAGCAATCACGCGATTACAATCCGCCTTGCATTCCGGTACAACCCAGCTGATGATTATAGTTTTTAGCCGGCATGTTCTCATCGGCACTATGACTGAAGTGTGTCCTTATTGCAAGGCTCTGAAATTTAATGGAGAAACGAAAGGAATGTGTTGCGCCGCCATAAAAATTAAACTGCCTCAACTTGGAGAACCGCCAGAGCCATTGAAAACTTTGCTTGCCGGATATACCGCCGAATCAAAGCATTTCCTATCTAACATCAGGAAATACAACTCATGCTTCCAAATGATGTCGTTCGGCGCAGAAATCGTAACAGCTCAATTCATGCCAGCTTTCAAAATGAAAGGACAAATTTATCATAAAGCCGACTCCCTGCTTCCGTTCCCAGATGGTCAACATAAATTCCTACAAATGTATTTCATCAGTGATGGCAATGATTCATTGAATGCACGCTGCGGAATTTCTACCGGCATAAAAAGGTCCATCGTTTCCCAACTGCAAGAGCTTCTTCACGAAAAAAACAATTTAGTGCGTTTGTTCAAAACAGCAATTGACATGATGCCATCTGATACACACAATATTGTTAGTCATGCTGACAAAACACCTGCTGGAGAACATGTGCGAAGATTCAATGCTCCAACTATAGACGAAGTGGCAATTGTTATAGTCGGAGATCAATTCCAACCTAGAGATATTGTTCTTCATCGGAGAAACGATCAATTAACAAAAGTTGCAGAAACTCATCGATGCTACGATGCCCTGCAATATCAAATCATTTTTTGGGATGGTGCCGATGGATATCACTGCAACGTTAAGATGATAAATCCATATTCTTAGCTCTTTCGGTAAAGTCACGTTGAAGGGAAACAATAAAATAATAAAACATATATATAAAATAAATCCAGTCAGTGGCGAAGAAACAAATATGAAATGCAGCGCAATGAACTATTATTCATACCGATTAATGATTCGAGCGAACGAAGACAATCACATTTTGAAATGCCGTCAATTGTTTCACCAATACATCGTAGATATGTTTGCAAAAATCGAAACAGAACGTTTGATATTCATCCGTTTGAATCAGACCAAGCTTCGCTCTGAAGAATACGTTCATTTGCTAGATGCAGTTGTAAATGACGGTAATACAACTAACGTTGGAAGACTAACGATTTTGCCATCTTCATATACAGGCAGTCCACGTCATATGCGTGAGTACGCTCAAGATGCAATTGCGTATGTTCGTCACTACGGGCGTCCAGACCTATTCATTACATTCACATGCAATCCAGCTTGGGACGATATACAACAGCTCTTACTTGCTGGGCAATCTCCGGTGGATATGCATGACATCACAGCACGTGTTTTCAGACAGAAGCTGAAATCGCTGATGGATTTCATGGTAAAACATGAAGTGTTTGGGTCTGTGCGCTGCTGGATGTACTCAGTGGAATGGCAAAAGAGAGGATTGCCACACGCACATATACTCATCTGGCTCTATAACAAAATCACTTCAAACGAAATCGACGATGTAATATGCGCTGAAATACCCGATGCCGACGTCGATAAGGATTTGCATGAAGTTGTGACGAAAAATATGATACATGGACCTTGCGGTACACTGAATCCAAATTCACCATGCATGATAGACGCAAAATGCTCTAAGCGATATCCTCGAGCATTACTATCCACCACAGTTACAGGAAACGATGGATATCCTTTATACAGAAGAAGATCAGCAGAAGATGGCGGTAAATTAGCAACCATACAAATGCGAAACGGTGACATCGAAGTCGATAACCGGTGGGTTGTTCCATATTCGCCTTCGCTATCAAAAACATACAAAGCGCACATAAACGTGGAATACTGTAACTCCGTAAAATCGATCAAATACATTTGTCAGTACGTGAATAAAGGCAGCGACATGGCAGTTTTTGGCGTGCAACCAGAAAGAAGTGATAGGAATGCGGTCATACATATCGATGAAATCGCACAGTATCAGGCTGGAAGATACATAAGCAGCAATTAAGCTGTATGGCGAATTCTTTCATTTCCCATACATGAACGAAGTCCAGCTGTTGTCCACTTAGCAGTACATCTAGAAAATGGACAACGCGTTTATTTCACCGCTGTAAATGTGCAACAAATAGCCCTGAATCCACCGGCTACAACGTTAACTGCTTTCTTCACGTTATGTCAAAATGACGCGTTTGCGAAAACACTGCTGTATTCGGAAGTGCCTACGTATTACACATGGAATGCGAGTAGAAAATAATTTGAACGACGCAAACGAGGAGAGCGAGTCGACGGACAACCTGGCATATTCAAAGAAACTACGATAGGCAGACTGTACACCGTGCATCCCAATCAAGATTAATGCTTCTTTCTTCGCATGCTGTTGGTGAATGTGCCCGGTCCAACGTCTTTCCAGCAATTGAGAATTGTCAACGGCGTTACACATGCCACTTCCCGCAGTGCATGTCAAGCTCTGAATTTATTGGCGAACGACCGACACTGGGATGTATGCATTAATGACGCGTGCAACACGTCACATCCAAATCAAATTCGTGCATTGTTTGCAATCATATTGACCGCCTGCTCTCCTTCATCTCCAAAAGAGTTATGGGAGAAATATAAATCGCACATGGCTGAAGATATTTTCCGTCGAATACGCAAGGAAAATTCAAATATGAACATGGCTTTCACAGCAGAAATGTGCAACGAAGCGTTGATAATGATTGAAGATTTGTGCTTAGAAATCGCGAACAAAGTTCTCAATGAATTGGGAATGCCATCACCGAATCGATCTGCTGCTGCTTC